TCCACAGTCTCACCTACCTCGTTACCCCTGCCCTTCTGCCAGGTGGAAAAAGTACACACCTTCCTGGATTACATCATGGGTGGCTGTCAGATCAGCTTCACGGTAAAGCACCCCAGGGTGGGGGCATGGCATAAAAAAGAGGGAGGAGCTAAGTCATGCAAATTGAAGGCAGCCAGAGTCTCATAGCTCTCATGTACCTTGCATCCAACACCCCACTCAACTATGAGGCTACCTATGGGCTCCCCTAGATTCACCTTGGTCCTTTTAACATATCTAACTCTGGCCTAGCCTGCCGGTTGGGTCTCACGGCTGCAGCATGACCCTCACCTTCACCCAGGTGGCCATCGACTTCACTGCCTCCAATGGGGATCCAAGGAGCAGCCAATCCCTGCACTGCCTCAGCCCTCGACAGCCTAACCACTACCTGCAGGCCCTGCGTACAGTGGGAGGCATCTGCCAGGACTATGACAGGTAGGGAGCAGGGTGCAGGTCAGGAAGGGAGGCCTTGTCCAAGGAGTGCCACAGTGGTTTCTTCTTTCCAGTGATAAGAGGTTCCCAGCTTTCGGCTTCGGAGCTCGAATCCCCCCAAACTTTGAGGTAGGCTGGGTACAAGAGACAGGGAGACGGCAGGGAAACAGAAAGAAGGTATCCCTTCACTGCCTCGCCTCTCTCTTACAGGTGTCCCATGACTTTGCTATCAACTTTGACCCAGAAAATCCTGAATGTGAAGGTAAACTGGAGAGTCCCGCCATCCTACGCCACCACAGATGCTTGCAATCTCCTCAGGAACACAGACTCCACTCCCACGCACTCAGCTCCCTGACCCATCCCTTCTTCCATCCAAGGCTAGCCTTCGCTTGGGAAGAACCCTATGACCCAGCATCTACCCACTTACTTCTCCCCACCCCAGGGCCATCTGACTCTCTCTGCTTAGTGAGGACCCGGGAGCCATCAGGTCTAAGTCAGCAACGGCCATGCTGCTGTGTCTGGGGCGTTCCCTGCTGACTTGTGCCATCTTCACCCCTTGTCTTGTCCTATAGAAATCTCAGGGGTCATAGCTTCCTACCGTCGTTGCTTGCCTCAGATCCAGCTCTATGGCCCTACCAACGTGGCCCCCATCATCAACCGTGTAGCTGAGCCAGCCCAGCGGGAGCAGAGCACTGGCCAAGCCACGGTGAGGAAGCAAAGCAGATGACCAGGTGCTGCCCTGTGTGTCCTCCAGTGGTGTCAGGGTCAGGACCTGGGTTTGGGAAGACTATCAGTGCCCTTTCATGCAGACTCGGCCCCTGTTCCCCCTCTGCTCGCCCTCAGAAGTACTCGGTCCTGCTGGTGCTCACCGATGGCGTAGTGAGTGACATGGCTGAGACCCGAGCAGCCATTGTGCGAGCCTCCCGTCTACCCATGTCCATCATTATCGTGGGCGTGGGCAACGCTGACTTCTCTGACATGAGGCTACTAGATGGAGATGATGGTCCCCTGCGTTGCCCAAAAGGGGTACCCGCCGCCCGTGATATTGTCCAGTTTGTACCCTTCAGGGACTTCAAGGATGTGAGTATTTGATATTCTCTCCCACGGAAAGGGCTTCTCAACAATTCGTGCCCCCCACATCTGCCTTTCTCATCCTTGGAAGATCACTGGAATCCAGCACACCACTCTGAAGTTTATCTGTTGCTCATTTGACCCAGCCGCCCCCCCTCTACTGCCCCTAACCAATCTCCTTCCTCCCAGGCTGCTCCCTCTGCACTAGCTAAGTGTGTCCTGGCAGAGGTGCCCCGGCAAGTGGTAGAGTACTACGCCAGCCAAGGTATCAGTCCAGGAGCTCCCAGACCCTCTACACCGGCTGGGACCCCCAGCCCCAGCCCGTGACTGCCTCTCAACAAGCCAACACTCCTCAACCCTTCAGTGAGTTCTAGGAAATCAAAGGAGTCCAAAGTGGAGCTTTTGAATGGCCCATCTTGGCTGCTATGGCTGGCGGGTAGGTATGCTTCTGACTACCCTACTCCTCTCAGATGCCTGTGCTGACCCCTGTGACTCCAGTGACCAGTGGTGCCCTGCGAGTCCTGAAGTGAGTGGTGGGCCCTGCTCCCACCTCTTCAAGCCCCGTGCCCCTCAACTCTGTGGACCCTCAAGAACTTCCTTCAGTGATTGTGACTTTATGGATATTAATAAAGGGAACTACCCCCACCCCGCCCCCGTACTCCAACCTCTACCCATCATGCCTCAGATGCCCACTGGAGAGTCCATCACTCCCACATACACCATAGAAAAGAGGCCCAGTCTCTTCCCAAATCTGAGTCAGAGCTCTCCAAGCAGGCTGTTGTCTCTGCTAGGAGCCCCTACCTACCCTCACCTCCCAAGCCCAGGGGGTCTAAACAGCATGGGTGTTAATTGCAGGAGATAGGAAAGGAAATGAGGGGCTGTCAAGAGGGCAGGCTGATGCACTCTTAGAGCTGTCTCCAGAGAGACTCCACTCAGTGTCCCAGGGGCTGAACCCCAGCCCCCACACAGCTGTGGGGCAGGCTAAGGAGGGCTTGTGGGGAGGTGAAGGAATGCATCTGTCTAAGGCCTGGTTTTCCTGGTGAGTGTTCATGCACCACACATACCCAACCCTCCGTGAATATGGCCTGAGGCTTCTGGATGTCCAGTTGGGGACTTCCTGAGAAGTGTTCTTTAGCACACGTCACACTTGGCTCCCTTAACTGTGTGTGTTGTGACAACGAGTCTGAGCACTATGTCTCTGTTTTTCTGATGAAGCGAGTAAGGCTTGATTTTGACTCTTCCAAGGTCAGGAAAGAGTCACAACTAGAGGCTTCCTAGCCACAGCACCCACATTCTTCATCACCACAGCATCTTTGCTGTCCCGGGCCACGCATGTCATCTTGAGACCTGGTGTTTGCATGCTGTGGCATGATCTGTGGGCATAAGTGTCTGAGGGTAGTGTCTCTGTCCTTGTGTGCTGGTGCCATGCAAATAAGAAAGGGATACAAGAGAATCAATGGGTCGGGATTGGAACTCCAAAGACAGGAGAGGACACAGATGAAATTCAGAGTAAGGGAAAGGTAGGAGATGGGCCACAGCCTGTAATCCCATCACTTGAAAAGTGAACGCATGGCCAAGGATGGTGGCACACACCTTTAATCCCAGCACCCAGCACACAAGGCAGAGAGGCAGGTGGACTGCACTGCTATGAGTTCAAGGCCAGCTAGGGCTATACAATGGGACACTGTCTCAAACACACACACACACACACACACACACACACACACACAGTAAACCCAGGATCCTGAGTTCGAGGCCAGCCTGGGCTACATAGTGAGAAAGATAAGAGGAACACAGAGTAAAGGAAGAAGGCCTGAGATCCCAGGTAGGCTCCCTCTGCCCCAGCCTCTCCCTGAAATCGTGAATGTGAAAGAGGAAGATGCTGTGAGTCACCACAGGAAGGAGCCCAAGCCAGAGAGGAAGGCCACTGGTCAAAGGCAGGCAAATGAGCAGGGGGCTGCAGAAAGGACTCCTCTCTCAGTCCCCTGCATAGACTAAGGATGAGCTAGGCTAGAGGAAGGGACAGAGGGAACAAGAAATGTGATGGGAAGAGAAGAGACAGCTGGTCAGAGGGTGGGTAAGCGGGGGCAGGAAGGAAGAAAGACATATGGGAGCCACTTCCCACACAGTACTGCTTCTCCCATTTATTATGTCCCTTAGAGGACAGATGACAGCAGCTGATGAGGTGGACACTCCCAGCTCAAAGCCTCTGCTCTGCCCAAAAGCCCTCCCCATATGTTGCTGAACTGGAGGACTGGGTTGCCATGGCAACTGTGAGACCTGGAGGACAGCCACACACAGGCCTAGCTAGGGCCACTGCTGCTCCCGGGCTTTGGTGGTGGTGGTAGTGGTTGGTGGTGGGGGAGGCTCCATCTGGACCATTCCTCACCCCCTCCAATCTACTTTCATTGGCCTCTGGAACTGAGGTGTACACGGCTCAGCTCCACAAAGAGACAGCCGACACATAGGATAGTAGCCTGAAGTAGTGATAGAGAATTAACTCTTTTTAAATGGCAAGGACATTTAACCAGTAACATTAGCTTTTCCTGGGCTTGAGGTTGTTTAATTCACAAAAGCCACACTCTCTCAGCTCCTGCTTATACTGTGAGGTTGCGCTTGCTCAGAGTGGCAAGAGGCACCCTCTGCACTTTGAAAGCCAATGCAGCCTAGAGGGAGTTACAGAGGGCTAGTGCATGTGAGAGCTCCCAGAGAAGCCATGAAGGGGCTCTACCGCCTAAGCTACAGCCTAGAGGCTGAGGTGGAACAGGACGTCCTTTTGGTACAGTCATCTTGGGGCCTTTTGGGGAGACCTTTTAGACTTGCTCACTGTAGACGATGCCAAAACTAGAACGGTGTCAGAAGTCATCTAATCCAAAGGAAAGTTAAATGAAGCAACTGAAATCCGATGGCAATTGCTTTGCTTAAGGTGACAGACATTTTAGCCTCTGACACAGTTGAGACTAGTGCTCTGGTCTCCAGGCTCCCATCCAGGGTGTTTGCTTTGCTGCTTTCGACTCTAGAGGCCACTGCGTTGAGCAGGGAAAAGCATCTTGAGCTGACCTAGTACTCTGTTTGGGAGAACTGAGATCTTGAAAATTCAGTAGTCCTAACATGGGGAGTCCCAAACTTCAGCGAACATGCGGCTTCCTTGTCAGGTATGGCATCGATGCACTACAGGTTGAAAACCTCGAATTAAGAGCTGGACTGAAGGGGGTGATACACCGCTCCCTCTCCTCCTACTGAGCATGCCACCCACCCATCCTCCACCCTAAGTACAGGCACTAGCCCCTGCAATATTCAGTGCCCTAATCAAGAACACTCAAGACCTGCAAAACAGCAGGGGACTCATCTCCAGCAAAGGACGAGCATCTACCTCAGGCATGCCACGAGGGTCAGAAGTTTGGGGACATTTGTATCGACACACAGGAACATGAGTAGCGATTTGGTGAATTATATATACTCTCCTGTATAGTGCCACCTACCCAGACACCCCCAAACCTCCACACCCCCTGCCCTAGAGGCTCAGAGGAAGAGGTGCGCGTGGTCGTCAGACCCAGGGCCGCTGGAGGTAAGCCGGTCACAGCGGGCCTTGTATAGGTCGCGCTCGCGAGCCAGTCGGGCCACCTCGGCTCGCAGTGCGTCCAGCTGGGCGGCCAAGCGGGCACGCTCTGCCTCCAGCCCGCGCCGCTGCTGCAGCCGCTTGGAGCGACAGGCCTGCGCGTAGCCGCGGTTCTTGAGCGTGCGGCGCCTCTGCTTCAGCCTCAGAGCCTCGTCGCGCCCGCAGCCCCGCAGCTGCCTGTTCAGCTCGCGCACAGACATCGAGACCAGCGCCGCGTCCGAAAATCTCTCTGGCAGCTGCGGAGGAAGAGTGCAGGGACCAGATCGGTGCAGGTCCCACCCAACTAGACAGGTGGGACCTTGGGAAAGCTGAATGCTCGACCACACCCCAAGTCTGGGCACGTCCTGGATCTCAGGAGTACACACACACACACACACACACACACACACACACACACACACACACACACACACACACACAGTGGCCCTTCCCGCAAGTGTCGCAGTATGAGCTCCGCCCCCTGCGCTCTGGAGAGCCACGCGCTCTGGAGAGCCAATCGTGCTTCTGGACGCTGCGCACCCTTCAACTGTCCGCAGTGTCCGGGGGACCCGCGCCCAGACAGATCCTGCCCTTGCCACAGTCGACTGGCTTCCCTGTCCTGAACACCACAACCCAGTGACCCTCAAGGATTTGGATTACATCCTAATGCCCTCAACACCCCCATCTGTGTCTATAATTAATAGGATGAGTCCCAATCCTTTCTTAGAAGGGTTAGGTTGTGGGGAAAACACCTAGCCTTGAAAAACCAACTTCAACCACAGCCTTTACCCCGCTAGAATCCACACATCTTTATCTATTTGCTTCTAATAATCGTTCATTCCCCCACAGTGCTCTTAAACTCTAAGCCCTTCCCCTTTGAGACCCCTTCTAATCTTTTGTTTTGTTTTTTGGCCAGGTCTCACTGTGTAGTCGCGGCTGGCCTGGCGCACACTAATTAGACCAGGCTGACTTCTAACTCACAGAAATCTGTCTCCCGAGTACTGGGATTAAAGGCCTGTGCCACAACTCTTGGCCTCTTCCTTGTCTTCTCTGTCCCCCATAATTCAACTATTTCCTACCATTTTGAAAAATTGATGTAGTTTTCTCAAGGACCTTGCTGTCTCTTTCCAGTCCACATCCCTTTCCAGGAACTCTCCCTCTCTTGATGGTTTCCTTCCCTCTTGGTCACTCACCTGGGCACGCTGTGCTCCTGTCTCTCCAGGGCTCCCTGAATAGTAGTCCAGGGGCCCTTCTGCAGGGACTTGGCCCTGATTCTGTAACAGCTCCACAGCCTCGTCAGGACTCAGCCCCAGCACCTCATCAGACCCCAGCTGCTGCTGCAGGGTGGCCAACCAGTACAGCTCCTCCAGGCCTGGCCTGGGGCCCTCACTGCTGCCCAGCAGGCCTGGCTCACTGAAGGTGGGTGAAGGAGGCACGGAGCTGTAAGGTGTGGATCCCAGTGAGGCTGTAGGGAGTCCAGATCGGCCCTCCGAGGGCTCCCGCTTTATTTCAAACTTCATCAAGTCAAAGTCATTAACATATTCCATAGCCAGGGGACTCGGGGGAAGAGCCATTCTGGGGCTGAGCTGAGAGAGGTGTTCCTGCAAGAAAAAGGAAGTCTGAAACTCTGGGGCTGCCTGCTGCAGCTCTCAGTGTTTCCTTCCCCCAAGGCCCTGAAACTCAAGCTCTGGGACTCTGGAGTAGCAATGCAGCCGTCTTCCCTGCACAGTCCCTTCCAGGTGGTTCCTGACAGACAATAGGAACTGGAAGCCTGAAGGACAAAATGGACAGCACAGCCTCTCACCACTTTGGTGCCTATGGGATCCGTGAAAAACAACAGCAACATGGCAGTGCCGGAGACCCGGTGCTGGGACATGCTGAGATGACAAGCCCTATGGTCTCCAGAGGCACCATTCCATTTACAAGCAATTAAAATTGTTGCTTAATTACTGTGGTTGTGTGAATGTGTGTGTTTATGTGCATGTATGTGTATATGGCTCTGTGTGCTTATATGTGTGTGTATATATATGTGGCCCTGTATGTGAATGTGTGTGCCTGTGTGTGACTGTATGTGTGTGTGTGGCTGTGTGGCTGTGTGGCTGTGTGTGTGTGCCTGTGTGAGGCTATGTGTGCCTGTATGTGTGTGTGTGGCTGTGTGTGTGTCTCTTTGTGTGTGTATGTGGCTGTGTGTCTGTGTGTTTGTGTGTGTGTGTATGTGGTTGTGTGTGTGCCTGTATGTGTGTAGCTGTGTGTGTGTCTCTTTGTGTATGTATGTGGCTGTGTGTGTGGCTCTGTGTGTGTGTGTGTGTATGGCTCTGTGTATGTGTGTATGTGGTTGTAGGGGGTGCTGTGTGTGTATATGTGGCTGTGTGTATGTGTATGTGGTTCTGTATGTGTGTGTGTATGTGGCTCTGTGTGTATGTGTGTGTTAGGGCAGTGGGAAGACACTATGCTGTGAATTTCAGAGTATAAGGATATTATGCTGTTATCTTTATCTCTCAAAGCTTTCAGGATAAGTGTCAGTTACATATTTTTTCTATGGGTTAGCCAATAGACAAACCTCTTCTATAAGAGGCTTTCTATGGGAAAAACATTTCTAGAAAGATCTGGACCAAGTGGCCACTCTCTCCTCGAGGTCAGTCTTCCCAAAGGGAACCCATGAAGACAGATCTTTGATTTAGAACTTGCCATGTTAATGTGAGTTTGAGCAGGTGGCCTTTGCTTTCTGACCCTGTTGTTCACTGCAGACAGTTAGACTTTGAAAACTTCCTCCAAGAGTGTTCTGTGGAACACTGATTCTGAGAAATACCGTAGAAGAGGTTTATACGCAGGTGATTTAGGGAAGGTTGCCTCTTAGCCCAATCTCTTGCAATTCACAAGCACAAAAATATATTAACCTAAGAAGCCCTTGAACAAACCATTGTTCAACAGAGTGTACCAAATTTACAACACTAGAGAACTCTCACACGTTCACCTCTGGCTAGTTCACCTCATGGTTTACATTCCCAGTCTGGAAGTCCCAGCTCTGGTCCAGCTCCCAATGGCAACAGGCACACCCCCAGGCCCAGAAGGGGAAGTTGGGAGTCTCATTCCCCAGCACTAGCACTTTAGCTGTCTCTTGATCCTCTCTTTTCTTCAGCCACATCTCAGACTTTCACACTTTGACCAGAGGGTTGGAGGGGTAGGTAAGGCTTCTCTTTTTTTCCAGGGGAGAACTGTCCTCTGCAGAATCACCCAACCCTAAGAGAACAGAGGTGCTAGAAGGAACTAGTCCTTGGCAAAAAGGAGCTGGTGAGGTACTAATAGAGGTGTCAGAGAGACAGGAGATGTAAACCATTAAGCAGGGAAAGTTGCTTTTCTTTCGGATATGATAGTGGCCAGAGTAGAGATGGGACAGGATACAGAAAAGTGAGTACATAAGATACAACAGAGAGCAGACACCAGGAATCAGAGGAGGGCTCGACATGGCAGACCTAGCACCCAGCGGGTCACTAGACATACTCACTTTAGGAGTGGCAGAGATGACAGAGATGTTGGAGATGACGTGATCAGTGTCAGAACCAGAAAGGCACCGCTTTCCCAGAGATGAGAGACTCCATAGAACAGGGTCTGGTGTCCCTGTATTCAGAAGGGGGTTGTGAATAGAGCCTAAAAGGCTCTCTTAAAGGGCTGGTTCTTAGAGATCATCTGTGGTCCTCAAGCCTCAGCCAATGAGATAAAGGGCTTATTTCCATGTCTCATTGGCCTGAGACAGGGATGCAGAGGACAATGAAGGACAGGTACCGCCAGTTCTCAAGAAAGAAGGAAAAGGGGCATCTTTCCCAAGAGAGCTTCTTATTGGTGGCCACACTTACATGCACGGTTTCCAGTGTGAAGAGTCACAGTGGCCCCAAGCACTACCCTCAGTGTGAACACAACCCTCAACCCAGCTGCTCAGAGCAGGGCTGGCCAGAGTCCAGACCAGTTCCCAGGAACCCCATCTTTTAAGGCTCTGCACCTCCCATCCACATCTGTGGGACATAAACACCCTCCCAGCCCTTTCTCATTGGGCTTGTTGGGTCAGCTTCCTCTTTTCAAGCATCCTAGAATTTCAGCCCCCACCCCACCTTCACCCTGGCTGGCCTTATACTTCTGAGTCACTGCCTAACAACTTCCTCTATGAAGAATCCTGCTCGTGGGGGCTGGAAAGATGGCTCAGCAGCTAAGAGCACTGACTGCTTTTCCAGAGAATCGGGACTCAATTCCTAGCACTGACACAGCAGCTCACAACTGTCTGTAACTCCAGTTCCTAGGGAATCTGACACCATCACACCAGTGCATATAAAATCAAGGTAAAATTAAAAGAATCCTGCTCTTAACAACCCAACCCCAAGATGAGCAGCCCCACTTGAGAGAAGGGACAGAAAAAGAGAGGCCAGATTCCTGGTCTTTCCTTGGGACACCAAAAGAAGCTGAAATCTAATCAGATACCAAAAGAGGCTGAAAGCTAATCAGATATGCTCTCGTAACCCTCAGGAGCCCTCTGCTTCCTCTCACCTTTTCTCTGTGTGTGTCTCAGTCCCTCTCTCCTCCTCCTCTCTCACTCATCCTGATTCCCAGACGGCTGGAGTATGACCTACATTTGCAGCCTAATCCCCTAACACCTCTTAGGGCTATCATCCCCCAGGAGGAGCTGGAGCAGGATACTAAGACTTAGCCAAGGAGATGTTTAAACCTGCCTGAAGCTGTTTAAATAGGGCCTGCACTAGAATAAACTCCAGACGTTAAAGGATATCCCCACCTCCTGAGGACACCGGGAAAGTTCGTTAATAGAGCTTTCCCAATGCAGAGGAAGGTCTGGGCTCTGTCAGCCCCAAGAGTCCTCAGTTATAACCATTAACTTTGTCTTGGCCTCATATATTAGTGAAGAGCTAGCAGATGCAGATTACCTAAGACTATAGCTCCCAAGATGTGGTCCTCAGATCATCAATAGCAGCATCTCTTGGGAACTTGAAAAGACAAGTACTCTGGCTTTACCTCAAACTCACAGAATCAAGAACTCTGTAGGTAGAATATAGATGTTAGTAATTTAGTAAGCCCTTCTAGCAATTCTAACACACGCTAAGGTTTGAGAACCACTGGTCTACAGATGCCTACATTCACCCCATCTTGTGTGTGTGTGCATGTGTTCGTGTGTATGCACCTACACTACACGAGTTTTCCATCACTGCTTGGACATAAATAACCCCCGAAGGCTCGTGTGTTAAAGGCTTGTTTCCCAGATAAGGGCACAACTGAGAAGTGATCAGATGAAAGTGCTACACTTAACAGTGAGTTTATCAGTTGAGGAGTTAATACTAAATTGGCTGACAGGAGATAGGGCCTACCAGGAAGAAATATGCCTGTGAGCGGCCTGTGGTCTCCTTAGTTCATTCATGTGTGTTTTCTCTGTGTCCTTCCCTCCCTCCCTCTCTGCCCCCTCTTTCTCTCTTTGCTCCACCGAATATCCTCCATCATGATGTTAGATTTTGGACCAAAGCAATAGAGCCACATAACTATCAACTGAAACTAAAACCGGTAGCCCAAAGAAATCTCTCCTCCTTTGGTCTTTTCGGGCACTTTGCCCAACAACATAAAAATTGACCAACACAATTGCTCCCATGGAAAAAGTTTGTGCTGGGCAGTGGTGGTGCCTGCTCTTGATCCCAATGGCCAGGAGGCAGAGGCGGGTGGATCTCTGAGTTCGAGACCAGCCTGGTCCTCAGAGTGAGTTCCAGGACAGTCAGAGCTGTTACACAGAGCAGGGTTGGGGGGGGGCTAATTTTGGCTTGTTGCCTTAGAGATGCCAGCCTGTGAGCACTGGACCCCATTATTTATTGCCTAGAGTGAGTCAAGCTGTCATGGCAGGGATACACCTTAAAGCTACTCACACAAAGGCAAAGGAAGGGGATAGGGTCCTGCTTTCCTCACGGGAGCACCCAATAACCAGAAGATTTCCCACCACACCCCACTCTTGAATTTTTTACCACCTTCCGAAAGTGATTGTAGTGAACTCTTGTGCCTTTGGAGGACTTTTGTTTTGTTTTGTTTTGTTTTGTTTTTCCAGAAGTTTCTCCATGTTAACAACCCTGGCTGTCCTGGAACTCACAGAGACCCATCTGCCTCTGCCTCCCTAGTGCAGGATATAGAGACATGGGCCACCATGTGGCAACATGTGCAGCCTTGGAGAACATTTGAAATCCAGGCTTTCTCCACATACACTAGAGGACCTAGATCATTTGTCACAACACCCCGCCCCCATGCCTAGGTCTCTATGTGTAGAGTCTGTTGTCACTACTCAAGTAAAAATGTTACACTTCACCTGGATGTGTTGCTTGCTTTCTCAGAAGCAGCAGAAAGTTTAAGGCCAGAAACCAGCCACAAAATGGGAATAGAGATGATAAAAGCAAGGGAGCCCGAACACATGCGTGGAAAATGACTTTACGGTGCACAGCCAGGAAGGAGACCCTAGAATGTCTCTAAAGGAAACGGACTGGCAACATTAAGTGCAGCCCCCTTTGCTGTGACCTCCCTAGACACTTGCCCCAACCAGCAGCTGCCATCTCTGTCATGATCCGC